AAGACATGATGTGAAAGCTGTAGAGGGATGTGCATCTTAAGGTTCTGTAACCTTTGCTATGTGTTCCCCCCAAATCAATAACAGCTGTAACGTGAAATCTGATAAAGAGGATTTCCATCCCAACCAGGGGGCACTCGCAGGAATCCAGACATCTCCAGCCCCCATGGAGACTGGTACCCAAGGGATGGAAGGACACACACTGCTCCAGGGACAGGGCTCGCTATGACCCCTATGGCAGCAAGAGCACATGGAAACCAGCCCGCTGTTGGCATCACACTCACTAACTCCCCTTCCTCTTCTAACCTCCTTTTATCGCCAACAAATGATTTTACTCCTTTTGGTTTTCCATATGCGTACGCATACGTTCTGCTGCCCGGGAGCTTGTAAAGCCGTAAGTCCGCTTTGTCATGACCCCTGCTTCCTCATGGCCTCGGCACAGGTGTCTTCTCAAATTCCGTTCTATCTAGGAATTGCCCTATTCTAGCAGTTTCAGGGAGCTGGGTGGTGAGAGACTCCTGTAGCTGGACTTTGGACCAAGATTTCAAGAGAAAAAAGAAAGTCAAGGTATCTCTCAGATGGAAAAATACATGAAGATGTTTCTGAGGCAGGAAGGAGACTGATTTGCCAGAGCAGGAGAGCACATTCGAGATGGTCTGGAGAATAGTGAAGTGGGGAGAGAGGAGTGACCCTGGTTTACAGCGGGTTTGGAAATAAGGGCCTATTGAAGGCTTTTGAGCAAAGCGCTCATCTGGCCTCTTCATTTTTCCTGCAGCCAAGTCAGCTTCATTTGAACCCTTGATTTGCTTTTACCCAACAGCCAGCTAGCTGCTGTTCTCAGTCTCTCTCTCCACTTGTTCCATCATGCCTATTCTGGGTGACTTGTGCTGGGCTGGAGATCAGAGGTCACCTCTGAGACATACCAGAGGCCATTGTCCTACTGAGAGTTTACCAGTCGTTCTCAACCCTATCAGACTCAGTGGCCCCCGTGTTTTAAGATGGGTCTCTGTAATTCTCCCTTTGCTATTTTGAAACGAAATGTATATATAGCATGATGGATCTACATACCCAATTGTATGGGATGAATCTTAGTATCCCCCCTAACTCATATGACCAAGTCCTAACCCCCAGTACCTCAGAATGTGACCCTATTTGGAGATAAGGTCTTTAAAGAGGTAATTAAGTTAAAATGAGGTCATTATAAGAAGAGGAAATTTGGACACAGACACGTACAGAGAGAAGACAATGCAAAGAAGAAGATGGCCAGCGATATGCCAAGGACAGAGGCCTGGGACAGATGGACAGATCCTTCCCTCACAGCCCTGGGAAGAAACAACCTTGCCAACACCTTGATCTCAGACTTCTAGCCTCCAGAACTGTGACAAAATAAAGCTCTATTGTTAAAGCCACCCAGTCTGTGGTACTTTGTTATGGTGGCCCTAGCAAACGAACACAATATATGCAATGCCTTCATTGAGATATAAAGAAATAAATGGAATTTAAAATGGACTATGTATTTCCATATGGAAGTGCTCAAGCACAATGAAACCAAGAGATGTAACATTTACACCAACAGTGTGCACCCAACAGCTCTAAGTCACCGCAGAGCACAAATGCAGGCTGGCGTAGACGGTGTGTGGTGGTGGCAACTCAAATACGACATCGCAAGCAACATTACCGTTGGCACCTGGTTTTCTCCAAGAGTGGAAAACTCTTGGTGAAGTTCCAAACAAAACAAAGAACAATCTTCTCTCAAATTACATGGTAGTTACGTTCCTGGAAAATTCAACAAATACGTTGTATTTTATTTGTAACCCAGGAACAGATTCTAGATAAATACAGTTTGCATCTATGTGAATGTCCTGTGGAACAGTTGAAAATCACAGGTAGTTCCTCATTTTTCTGTAGACGTTGCAGGATGTCAGGATGTCTAGCACCCCTGGCCTACATCCCTCATTGCCAGGAGGGCATCCAGTCATCATGACAACCAAAACTGTCCCCTTATTTCCAAAATACTCCCCAAATATTTGCAAAGTAGGGGTACCACTTTTGTTGAGAACCAGGGAGATACATGAAAATAAAAGGTGTAATTTATGGCAATCTTTTGGTGTTGGGCCAGCCCCACCCCCATTGGCGGCCAGACCCCCCCTGCCTGGAGGCTGGGAGCTGGGGACCAGGTCACATGGGACCGGGCAGCAAGCAAGTCAAGCAAGCAGTATGCATCTTCTCAACTGGTATTGTTGAAGGCCTCAGTCTTGACACTGTCCTTAAGCCTCCTGAGTTAAAAGGCTCTTTTGTTTATTTGAAATTCAGAGGCTTCGAGGTACTCCAAGCTGGAGGCTAGCAGCTGTGGGCATGCCTTTCTGTGTGTGTGTGTTTTCATGTGTGTGTGGTGTGTATCTAGGGCTAGGGAAGTGCCAAGGCACTGTGGTGACTGCAGAGGCATCAGGGGGCCAGAGAACAGCCCCAGAGAATCATCCTGGCAAGTGCCACTGCTCATCCCCCTGCTCCTGTTTCTCCATCATGGAACGTTCATTGTTGGAGAAAATCACATGAGCCAGCAGTTTGGTTCCACCAGAAAGCTAGGGCTTCTAACCACACCCGGGCCCTCAGCGAGGTGCCGGTCCTCGCTCTGCCTGTCACCTGAGGACATTTCCTAGTGTTTGGTCTCAGTTTCCTCCATTCTCCCCACCACTCACGTTCCACCCTGGTGTCTCAGGCTCCAGAAAGACTTCGGTGTGTTTTATTGAGACAATCAATATCATTGTCCAAAACAAGTTTCATTCTTTTCAGACCCAAATTTCTTTTCCTCTTGCACAACAGGAAGAAAAGTCCACTAGTGCTGCCTAACACACACACCTTGCAAGGGAACAAGCTTCATTGGTCAAAGAGCCCGGGTTTCTGCCTTTCAATTGCCTTCTCTACCGCCTCTGCCGGAAGCCATGCTATAGGAGTTAGAACCCTTTGGGGGCAACGAGTAGAATCCAAGTTGAATGCACTTCAGCTGAAAGGGATTTTACTCTAAGGAGTTAGGGATGTCCCAAAAATCGCAGTGCTAGGAATACAGTGGGTCTCAGGACAGGACTTGCACAGAATTGCAAAACCATTAGCACTCCTTCCACCCTTCTTTGCGGCTCCTCCCTGCTTCTTTCTGTCCTTTCTGTATACTAGCTCCCTGTGAATTCCTGTCCCCAGGGCAGAATCCCAATGCCAGGACAGAGAGCCTAATTGGCCTAGTTTGGATCAGTTCCAATCGCCTGGCCAACTTCAGCTAAAATGGCTTAACAGAGACAAGATTAACCCTCCTGCCTGAAAAAAATTAAACACAGGAAATAGAGAAACAATGGGTTTGAACATGGATATCAGGGAGCTCAGGACAATGATCCCCAAGAAGCGGGAAACAGAGAGGGGAGGGCTTATGATTGCCCTGGCTCGCAGCCTGGAGAGTTTCAAGATGGCGACAACACCAGAAGAGGACCCAGGGAGGGCCCAGTGGTTTCCCTCAGGTGAGAAGACCTAGTTGGGAGGACAAGAAGCCATGGTGGCTAGAGGGGGAGCAGAACGGGATACCAGGGAGTAGAGAGCTGGAGAGAGAGGAGAGAGAGAGAGAGAACTGGATCCCTGGAGGATCTCCTTGAGTCTTCAGCTGAGTACTGATCAGCACAGGCCTGGCAAGAAACCACCGGAAGCCAGGAAAAGAGCTACCTAAAAGGAGCAGAGGGAATGCTCCTGTGAACCGTCAGGAGGCCTGCAATAGTTTGTTTCCACCAGTCAGAATGGTAAGTCTCGGAACCCACAAGGTGTCAAGTAAAGGACTCAGAAGAGCATCACCTCAGTGACAGGGAAAAGTTTAGTCCTCAAGCCCACTTTGGTTTTGCCAACAAAGGTTAAAAGCAGACTCGAAAGACTCCAACCGTGTCCAAGTGACTTAACCATGTTCCAGAACAAGGCTCAAGAATCCTTCTGGGAATACAGAAACACCCAGTCCCAGTACCGAACAAGGTAAAATTCAAAATCACAACACCCAATCAACCCTCTGGCCGCAAGGAAAGACGCAGAAAAAAATAAAGAGGAAGGAACACTGTTCTATCTATCTTACCAATTCTATGAACGTCACAGTCACCTCCTCTCCCATCTTAAGGCTATTATTATTTTCTTCTTTACACACCAAGATGTTGTTTGGTTTATTACAACGGCATCCATTACTACTGTTATTTTAAAAGACTTTGTGAACAAATGCATCACTAAACGAGAGTACCAAACAAGAGAAATTTCTGCAGCGCTTCACAAGGGATGCAGGTCTCTTCCTCCCTATCTTCCTTTGCCGCCTTCTCTTTCTGTCTCTGCAGAAAGTCCTCACCTTCTTTCCCTGAATCCCTAGCCTGTCCTTCCCTTTGCAGGCCATTTCACAGAATACGGAATGCATGGCTAGCTTTTTGGTGAAAAACCTTGTTCCTGTCTTTGATTTTTTTTTTTTAACTGGCAGATTTTAATGTTTCACGTGTACCTCTCAAAGACGGAGTACGCCTCCCCGGCCACCCCCACCCTGGTACCTCAGGGTCTTTGGTTCTGCCCACTACGCAGCTCCGTGGGTCGGTGCCCGCGGTGGGTAAAGGTTCCCCCGGCCCCGCTCTGTTTTGCCCCGACCCCACCTGCCCTGTCCTCGGGCAGGCAGACGGCAACTTCGGCAAACATACATGGCACCTCCACTTTGCCTTCGGATGAAATCGCTCCCTGGCGTGCAGTGTGTGCCTGCTGAGCTCCCCAGGCTGTCGATGAAGTGAGGGGAAGTGGAGGGGAGTCAAGGGAGCGGGAAGAAAGCCCACGAAGGGCGGGAGAGAAGAGTTAGAGTGTCGAAGACCGGCAGAAAAAAAGGGCCACTCAGTAACGAGAGGGAGATGCGCGAGTAAAGCGACCAGACCCCATGTGGACAGGGGGAGGAGAGAGCGCGGAGGAGGCGCGCGAAGGCTGAACTCCCAGGCTGTCCGACCGAAAGCCCGGGCCGTGGGGGTGCGCGGGCGCGGGCGGCGCGGGACGCGTGCGGTCCGAGCGCAGGTCCGGGGGCAAGCGTGCCCCTGTCCGCAGCCGCCCGCGATGAGCGAGGCGAGCCGGGTGTGCTCGGGCTACTACAGCCTCAACCACAGCTTCGTGGAGCCCTTCGAGTGCCCCCGGAGCGGCGAGGGGGCCGCCCTGCTCTACTGCTGCGGCTTCGCCGACCTCAAGTACTGCTGCAGCGAGCCGGGCAGCTACTTCCCCTACAAGCACAGCTATATGTGGAGCCTCAGGTGGGCAGGGCGGCGGGCTGGCGGCGGGCTCTGGGGAGGCGACGAGCGGTGCCACCCCGGGAGTGGGAGGGTCGCCCGCTCGGGTCGGGTCCCTCAGGAAGGACATGGAGCCTCCGAGGGCGGGTGAGGGACCAGCAGACAAAGCGCGCCCGGCTCGGAGCTCCCCCACCCCGGACCCCGGGACCCGCTCGGTGCTGCCCCCGTCCGGCGAGGGTCAGGCTGTGGCGGCCAAAAGTGTGAGTGGGTCCTGGACCCCGGGCGAGGCTGGCGCGGGAGGAGCTCGGGAGCAGCGCGGGCTGTGCGCCCAGGGCGCACGCGGTACCCGCTCGGCTGGCCCCGCTCAGCCCCGCGCCGGGTCCCCACGCCCGCCAGGGACGAGTTCCAGGCAGGAGGCTCCGCCGGCAGACAGGAGACACGCAGATAACTTGAGGAGGTTTTCATTCTCTTTTTGATTTGTTTGGGCATTTGGTGCTTTGAGTAGAAAGGGGACGACTTTGGGACTCATTTTAAGGTATTAACCAAGGACCAGAGTATTTAAATTAGTCTCTCTGAGGGTGAGAAGAAATCAAAGAGGTGTGTGTGTGTGTACACATACAGCGACAGGACTTTATAATTTGCTCTTTTCAGATGATCCGAAACTGACCCAGAACCGAACTGGAGACCTACAGTAGGCAGGGAAAGTTTTACTTGCTGTAATACTCCATAGAACCTTTTTCAGAACACCCCTTTCTTAACACCTGAGCCACTCGGCCATTACTGGAAAGACAAGAGACTTTTTAAGGTGGAGTCTTTCTTGCCTCTTTTTCCTATGATGGGAATTTTACTTATTCCACCTAGTATTTATGCAGATATTTTCACTGTAAAATGCTTTCTGCGCCCCCCCCCCAAGATTGTAACCTTTGAACTCCATTCTTTGATTTTGCCTGGAGAATGAATGTGAAAGAATTCCAAACCCACCTTCAGTTGTTTCGCACAAACTAATTAGCTTATGCCTGACAAGAGAGAGATTCTGCTAGTAAGCGGAAGAGTGGTGTTTCTCTAATCCTCTAGCATGATCCAGAGTTTGTCACACATGTCCAGTCCACAGCAACTGACTTTAAATGTTATTTCTTGAGGCAGTAAAATAATTTTTCCAAAAGGTATTGCAAGCTTCAAAAAAATCTCAAAAGGAGTGCCACTTACCAGTAAGTTCAGCTAACAACATTGTGCTGTGCCGGAGTGGGGCATAATCTTGCAAAATGATGGCAGCTTATCCCTCTCATTTGGAGAAGTAATCAGTATTGCACTGGCATATTATCCGGCCTTTTGGAAAATAGCATAGTAACCCAGCTCTGAGTCCTTGGAGGTGTTAATAACCTGGCAACTCTTAAGTCAAACTCAATTGGAAAAGTGCCTGGGATTCTCAGATCCTTGAATAGTTCCAAAGTGACAGGCAGCAGAGGATAGGTTTATGAGGGCATAGGTTTATGAGGTTAATGAATAGCTTGCCGGGTCTTCATTCAGCACGGACACAACGGACAGTATAGCTCAGTTTCTAGGACACACAAAAATCATTTCAACTGAGAGCATCTGTTGGCAATGTTAAACCTGGGGATCTTGTTAGTTATTGAGCACTGAGAACACAATGGGGAGGCAAAAATTCAGCGCTTCATCTCCCTCACATTCTTTGCTCTTCGCCCAAATTGAAAATAGTCCAACTGCGAAAAATATTCCCGAAGTCACTAGCAGTTGTTCTGAGATTCTGCAGCTGCTGGAGAAAGGCACAGCACAGCTACTCCGAGGCAAGCAAAGGTGCTGAGTAGGAGAACTGCGGCGTGAACGAGGCAGCAACTTCAGACCCCCCCGCAGGGACTGGAAAGCGGACTGCCATCCAAGTGCTGGGAGGAAAGGATAATTCTCCCTTTCCTGCGAGTGGCCCACCACAATCTTTGCTCCTTCTCCAAATCCCTACCCTCTCAGGGCTTCCTTTGGTAACCTGCTTCAGGACCTAGGAAAATGATGCCAGTTGCACAGGGCAACACATGAGTTCAGTAAGCGGTTGTCAAAAGGACTATTTTAGGAGATTCCTGGAGTTTCATCTTTATCTAGAGTTTTGTACGCATGAAGCAACGCTTCTATAAAATGGAACTGTGATACAAGCTGTCTGTCAAGGTTATGAAGGTGGTGTTAATAATGGTGGCAGCTCCTCGGACTCCCCATTGTGTTCTCAGCGCTCATTAACCAACGAGATAAGGGATAAGCTGCCATTATTTTCTTTAATTATAATAGAAAGCAGAAAGAGAATGCTTTGTTTTTCCTACAAATCATGTGATGGGCTTTTAAATTGTGTACATTAAAAGCTCACAATATGCATGTTGAATTTAATTAGGTTGACAATTTTACTTTTAAATGGACTAAATTACTTTTTACTTTGAGCATTTTTTTTTTTTTGAAGATTTTTATTTATTTATTTGACAGAGAGAGACATAGCGAGAGAGGGGACACAAGCAAGGGGAGTGGGAGAGGGAGAAGCAGGCTTCCCGCCGAGCAGGGAGCCCGATGTGGGGCTTGATCCCAGGACCCCGGGACCATGACCCGAGCCGAAGGCAGACGCTTAACCGACTGAGCCACCCAGGCGCCCCGTTTTGAGCATTTTTTTAAAAACCGGTTCTCATTTCAAGAATCTTTCTAGATGTGTGGCAGCCTAGCTGTCTTGTGCAGCAGATAATGTTAATTAAGTGGCTTATGTTCCCCTGTGTCTGTGCATAGTCCTAACCCTCCCTGATGTATATAATCTACAAAAGTCAGCTTTGGTGCCAACAAACATGAAAGAGGACTTGCCAGAGCCAGGGAGTCTCGCCCTTGGAAGAGAGTGCACAAGTGAGGGCAAACTCCAATTTAAATATAAAACGTATATTGACTCTAGCCACAGAATTATCCAGTCTTCACTGTGTGCAGGGTTAGGGGGATTGGGCTGACATTAATAAACCAAGCACAAGTGTCTTTGGAGGTCTCACTCCACTCCCTTGTGGCCAAGGAGGCAATCTCTAAATGGCAGGGGGCTTTATCTCGTAAAATCAAGGATAAATGGGATGAGCTTAAGCACCTCCCTTTTAATTCTGTTCTCCTTTTTTCCAGAACCCTAACACATCTAGCCTCCCTGGTCAGATTCTCCCCTCCTTCTCTTTGGTACTTGTCAAACTTGTCGGGGCCCTAATCTCTAGGAAATAGCAGAAGCCTGCAGGCAGGCCAGGACGATGATGAAGAAAAAGGTCATTACTTGTCAATGACCATTTCAATGATGATTATACCATGAATTACTTCCCTTATTTATTTTTTTTTTTTTTAGAGTCGGGGGAGGGGAGAAGGGACAGAGGGAGAGAATCTCAAGCAGGCTCCTCACCCAGCCTGAGCCTGTCTAGGGGCTTGATCTCACCACCCTGAGATCATAATCTGAGCTAAAATCAGGAGTCAGAGGCTTGGGGCGCCTGGGTGGCTCAGTAGAGCTTCACTACTTTTGCACCAGTCAGTATTTTTCTATTCATTTTTTGTGGGTGAACACGATTTTTCCTTCTAAAATATAATTTTTTTTAAGATTTTTAAAAAAATTTATTTATTTGACAGCGCGAGAGAGCACAAGCAGGGGGAACAGTAGAGGGAGAGGGAGAAGCAGGCTTCCCGCCAAGCAGGGAGCCTGATACGGGGCTTGATCCCAGGACCCTGGGATCATGACCTGAGCCAAAGCAGACGCTTAACCATCTGAGCCACCCAGGCGCCCCTAAAATATACTAATAGAGGTTTCTTCGACTGAAATATCTTTAAACTTGCCCGGGAGAATCACGTGACCTTTCACCTGCCATATGAGTTCACATAGTTTTCTATACTAATGTTAACATATAAATGTGTAAAGAAAATAGAAGAATTTGATGAAAGCAAAAGGTGAGCTATAGATTTCAATCATGTACTGTTTATACTAAAATATAGCTTGGCTAGGAATGACTGAAGCAAGGATGAACAATCTTCAGACCTTCTCTCTAGTGTATGTGTAAACCATTTTGTGTGACAGTGAGGATGTTCTTCCTGTTTCTTCAGCATCGGTGCCCTGGTTGGACTGGGAACTGCTGCCCTTGTTCTGCTTGCCTTTGTCGTCAGCGTCTGTGTCCTCTGCTGCTTATTTCTGTCTACAAAGCCTCGAAAGTTAGACACTGGCCTTAAACTTCAGCACCTCGAGGCTTCTTCCACTCACGAAGGTAATCCACGTCCATTATTTGCAGCCAACTTCCTGCACTCTGTTCAAGAGAATCACCTGTCCCTGGGTGACACACCATCCGGTGAGCCATGAATGCTTTTTAAAAATTCAACTCATTATGTGCCTTTATAGAAATTCATAGGAAATTAGGCATTAATGCTGAAATACCTTCGAGAAATTGGGCCAAAGGACAGAAGAGGGGCAGGATGTAAATGTTCTCATGAAAAACTTGTTCTCATGGATCCACTAAATCGCTCTACTGTATTTAAGGCTCTCAGTTATAAAGGTTTTAGCTTCATGGAGTTGTTAAATTTTGTTTGTGATAGAGCCAAAGATGTAGAATAAATAGAGGAGCAAAATATCTGATAATTAATTCTCAGGGTTGCATTGCTCAAGATGGGTCAGTCGGTGGTCAGCTGAGCATTCACCTGGGTGCCTGAGAGCTGCAGAATTCAGAGGAGGTACCTAAAATATCTCAGAGGCATACAAAAGGAATAGAAAAACAGGAAAGGTAAATAGAAGACCGTCTTTGTTCTTGAATAGATGACAAACTAGTTAAGGTATACGTGTGTGCAGGCGCGCATGGAAGAGTGACTATAAAGTAGAAAGAAATGTTTATGTATAGTTTGTGGAACTGGGATTCATTATCTCAGTTACAAAGTGCCACACAAATGCTAATTGCTAGCATTATGAAATTCAGTCAGAAAGAATTGTTATGATTTTTGTGAATATAAATTTCTGTTAGTGTATTTAAAAAGTAGTAGTCATAAATTTTGAGATATATAGAGTGTATTTTAATAAAAATTTAGAATATATAAATAGAATCTATTTAGAATAAGATACAAGTGCTCAGTAACTTCTATTTAAAAAGAGAATGAAAAAGTTTACTTTAAAAATTTTTGGAAAATCACCTGCTCAGATGCTCTCTTTTGGCTGAACCCTGAAACTTATATTTCTGGAGTACATGCTCTGTGACCTTATCAAATACAGTCGCTGAATGATCGCATTAGCTCTACTTTCCTTTTCTGTAGAGGAGGTCTCTCTCAGAGGGCGTCCTGCGTCACAGAGCAAGAGGCCAAGCTCCCTTAGCAGTTCTTTTTCTGAAGCACTGTTTGGAACTGTGTGGCCGAATTGACAGGTTGTTAGTTGAATTTAGTCCAATGGCTTAGATCCTGTTTCTTCACAGGCAAAATGAAGCAGTGGATTAGTGACTACCAAATCATTAGATCTTAAACTCAGTTTGTTTTTATATTATTTT